GGTCGGAACCCACCAAATAAAACACGCGAGGGGCCGCGGGCGGCTGCGGGAGTCCGGCGGGGCGCGGCGGTTCCACGCGGTGTGACACGCGGTGGAATCCAAGGGCCTGGGCTGGCAGGAGCATCAGGTGGGAAGAGGAGGACACAGCCAGGAGAGGGACCCGGGAGTTAGGCTGATACAGCGAGACCGTGGTTTAGATTGGCCCTGTCATGGGTTTTGCTTATATCCTAGGGAATAAAGGAGACCAGAAGGCAAACTGTTGAGTGCATCACACAGAAACACAGAGTGGTTGAGGTTGGAAGGGACCTCTGGAGATCATGCAGTCCAACCCCCCTGCTCCAGCAGGGACACCCAGAGCACGTGGCACAGGGCGGCATCCAGGCGGGTTTGAAGATCTCCAGAGAAGGAGACTCCACAACCTCTCTGGGCAGCCTGTTCCAGAGCTCTGTAACCCTCACAGCAAAGAAGTTCTTCCTCACATGGAGATGGAACTGCCTGTGTACTTGCCTTCCACATTGGACGCCTGCTCACGGTGCCCCATCTGCCCCCCGTGCTGGTGCTGGAGGTGGAGCAGGCCGTGTCTTCCCCCTCCCTCCTCCATGTTTCCCCTTCACCCTGTCATAAGAGGGAGCAAGTTCAGGAGGAGATTTCTTACCCTGCAATGATTTTGATTCTGCAGAAGTTATTGGTATTACTATCTTGCTTTTACAACCTCACAGCTGAGAGCTTGCTTATCTATTCTGACCATTGTCTAGCTTTGCATTTCCATTGAAGATGTTCAGAATTGATGGATTTCATCTTTCTTTTTGTACCTTGTCTTTTGGTGAAAAATGCTAAACGCCTCAGCCACTGCGCATAAAATTGTAACTGTTCCCCCCCCTTGTCTCCATTGTAATTTACATTATTTTTTCCTTAAGTGTACAACTAGTAGAATTCTGCCATATCTGTATTAGGAATTATTAATAGGTGAAATAAACAAACAAAACTAAGTAAATCACCATTTAAATCTGGCCTAGTGCTATGGCGATTGAATTTTTTATTGTAGTAAATGCTTTTTCCTGTACAAAACAAAACCTGTTTGCTTTTCAATGGGTTAAGGATCTACTCTTAAAAGAGCCATTACCATAATTGACAATGTAACTGAAAGAGGAGAGGACCACATTTACAAAGTGACAGAGGCTGATTCCAGAGTATTTCTGTCTTGGAAGCGATCCCTGTATATAAAAGCTGAGGTGCCATGGAAAGAGATTGTATCTGTTCACAGAGCTTTAGAAAGAGCTTGGTGAAAGGCACCAAATTTGATAAAAAGCACACACACATCGGTACAAACCTTCATCAAATAAATAAAAATATTAGTCAGAAATATATAGATCTTCATAATAGGCAGAATTGCCAAATCATTCTGCATTTCTGGTGAATGTCAGTCTTTTTCATAACTATTCAGAAAGAAAGTGTAAAATTCAGTCTAAACTTTGGAGTCAAATAGTACTGATTTGCACTAACCAGCACTTTTGAAGACCTGAGGACTCTTCTTGCCTGAAGGTGTGCAGAAAGCCCATCCAAAGCCCATTCACCCATCAGCAAATGCAGCCCGATTCAGTTACCTCCATGTTACAGATAAAGTCCTCTTACATAAACATCATGGAACTGCTCTCTACAGTTTTAAAGCCACTTCGATTACAGATTTCAGATAAGCTTTCCCAACACTGTGTGCCTCCTGGTTGCTTTTACTATTTGACTTTGTTGGATTGTTTTTACAGAATTTGTGTCTTCCTAAACATGTCCTTTATAGGACCACAGGAATACAAAAGTACACCCCAACTATGTCACCACAGACAGAAGTTCGAAGATTTGGAAAAGAAGATCATGAACAAGAGACTAAAAAATAAATTCCTCTGGCATTGCGCTGATAAACTTAAACAGGAAATGTTTGTTCTTCCTGTCCAGGGTGGATAACTGCATTCTCTCAGGTCTGCCTTTTGGTATTCTCCGCTTCCAACAGTTTTGCAGGGCTCACTTCAGAAGCATAAAGAAGTGTCATGGCTTGCTAATAATAATAATAAATCCAAATATGGAAATGAGAAATTAAATAAATTTACCCAGGGTAGAGTCTGAAGAGTAGTGCTGCTACCAACAACCACCAGTTCAATCATCCATTAAACTGTTCTTCTGCATGTAAGGTTACTCATTGACATAACATAAAATGTAGTATATGTTTTTAGCTTTGGTACAAATGAGAAAACAAATTGTGCCTCTGGAAAGCCAGAATTAATTAGATTGTTAGTGCATGATAGAAATGAAACTGCAAAGGATTTTCCTGTGGAGGTATATGTATGTGTGAAAGCTTACACTGCCTTATACATTACGACCTGGCGTACAATGAATGAGTTTACAGTAGATTTTAAAAACTTTTAAAAACTTTTTTAAAAACTTAAAAGCTTTTTTTGGCTGTAATTTTCAAGAGTTTGAAAA